CATGAGCACAGACACAAGTTTTTGAACTATGTTTCCAGGCACACAGTAAATGCATAAATGAATAAATAAATGAATACTGATATCTATAGATGATGACATCAAGATCAAGAACTGCGTTTTTTCACCAGGTGCAGTGACTCATACCTGTAATACCAGCACTTTGGGAGGCTGAGGCAGGAGCCCCCGAGTTTGAGACTAGCCTAGGCAACATAGCAAGACCTCATCTCTACAAAAAGTACAAAAAAATTCGCTGGGCATAGTGGCATCAGCTTGTAGTTCCAGTTACCGGGAGGCTGAAGTGGGAGGATGGCTTGAGCCCAGGAGGTTGAGGCTGCAGTGAGCCAAGATTGTACCACTGCACTTCAGCCTGGGTGACAGAGCAAGACCCTATCTCAGAAACCACCACCACCACCACCACCACAACGACAACTAACAATTGTTTTTCAATGCTTTGGAGTATATTCATCTGCTAGCACTCAGATGCAGCCTGAGGAAAGCAGTAAGAGAAACCGATCAAGTTAGTATTTTCCAACGTGAAAAATAGAACCTCTCTCTCTCTCTCTCCCCCTTCTCTCTCTCTTTCTATATATATATATACACACACACACATATATATACATACATATACATATATATATTTTTGTTGTTGTTGTTGTTGTTTGTTTTTGTTTTGAGACAGAGTCTCGCTCTGTCGCCCAGGCTGGAATGCAGTGGCGCAGTCTCGGCTCACTGCAAGCTCTGCCTCCCGGGTTCATGCCATTCTCCTGCCTCAGCCTCCGGAGTAGCTGGGACTACAGGCGCCCACCACCATGCCCAGCTAATTTTTTGTGGAACCTCAAAATATTAATCAAGCTCAATTAGAGAAATAGAGTTGCATGCTTTATGACATAGAGATTGTGAACTGAAAGTATATCCACTACATTTTCTAACAATTATCTTTGTCAATATAAATTTAAATCATATTTATTAAGCACATTAATTTATTTTTCTCTCCTAAATTGGTGGAAACTATAAACATGAAGAAAATAGCGATTAGAAATCAGTTTTATCAATGAAAACAATACATCAAGGAATATATTTTTAAATATTAAAAAGAACAAAACAACATAAACAACAATGGGAAATGATCAACCCTAACCTTGGAATTAAGTTGGTTTTAGAGAATTATATTTCTCGTTTCAGAAAGGAGAAGCCCATTTAGGGTTCATCAATGACTATTCATAGGAAATGTATCCTCCTTTATTCTCTCATTTTTTACTAACTTTCTTACTCAAAAAGGGAAGAAACTTTCTTCATTAATACAGAAAAAGTGCTAGTGTGCCTATTGTGAAGTATAAGTTATTCCAAATATATTTTGTGACTGATGTGATATTGACATGATTCTTATCACATGGGAAAACAAGACCATTTTTCCCCTCCAAACAAATGCAATACAGTCCCTAGGATACATAGAAAACATTTTAAACAGGAAGAAAGCAAAACCTCAAATTTTTCAAGCCCTTGTTTTTAAAAGGTCTAGTTCTGTTTAGAGACATTTTGCTCTTGAGATTCACTTTACATTACAGATGATGCAATAGGTGACATTTTAATTACTTCAGGGTTCTATCTGTATTCCCTACCGAGAAAGCCCCATAGTGGTTAATCCGACGCTTATAAATCCTTCTGAATTATTCATTGATCATGGCAGAAGGGATGCCTCCAAGAAGATTTTTTTCTTATGCACAGGGAAAATCAATGTGTTTTTATAAAATCTGTCTAAAGTGTCAATTCTCTAAGCTGTCCTCATTCCTAGCAGGAAGGTTTCTTATTCTATGGAAGGTGCGTAGGAAGTGGAATTAGAAAGACTCGTCTGTGGCAATAGAAGTTAGATGTGGATGGTGCTTTGGACTCGAAGCCCCCAGTGCAAGAGCTATAATTCAATTAGTGAAAGAAATCTATATTACTTTACCTGAACAACAGAAATCCTTCTCATCAAGTGTCACTAAGTGGTAACCCAAAAAATAATGGTTTCTGTTTCATTTACTGAAGGTATTGTCTTGGTAATACAAGTGATATCAATTTCTCTATTTCTTTGTGTCTCTGTCTCTCTCTCATACACGTGTACAGAGTCATTGAATCAAACTTTTATGCAGGATGAGCATCTATACAGTATCAACAATATGTTTGCAAACTCAATTATTGACATAGAAGCCTTCTTGTCCACAGACATTAATAAATGATTCTACATTACTTAGAAACCATTAGGTCCTTTTTTCATTCTTCTTTCTCCATCATAACTGGCTGGAGCTTCACATGGACACAGCCTGAGAGAACTAGTCAGCTCTGTGTGTCATCCCCTATAATTCCCTGCCTTGTTACAGGTAGCACTTTGACGATGCCTGTAAGTCCCTTGCAGTTTATATAAACGGGCTCTGACACTTCCTAGGGTGACCAACCTTCTTGGTATGCCTAAGATCATGGGGTTTACCAAGATGCAAATCTTACATTCCTAAACTAGGAAGTTTGGAGACAAACTGAGTGGCAGTTGTTCACCCTACTTATATCTCACCACAACTGATGGTAAACTTCGATGGATTTCATGAGAGGGTCAGCAGTTTGAATCTCATTCTGTTCCCCAACTTAAATTTGTCATTAAATGTCTATTCAGATTTGAAGCCTTCTTGGAGACTCAACTCATTTGGCTTGACTTTACTTATTGATACACTCAGCACTTAGATGCTTGAAGACCAATATCATTTACTTTTTTCTTGTATTTTCTCCTTCTGAATACATGACACACTAACATAAGGTACTCAAAAAACAAGGCCAGAGAATGTTAGAAACTAAAAGCCAAAGTCTTTTTCTAGGTATTTCTACCGAAGCCATTTCCATTTTGAAAAAACAAACAAACCAAAAAAATTCAACTTCCAAGAACATTTGAGATTCATATTAAACGTTTTTACTCATATTATCCTGAATATTATGTTTATAGTAATTCAAGGAACACACAATTCTAATATGAGTTTTTTATGTGTAACTCTCTTAACCCTTGAAGTTCAGAGTCTTCTTCACACAAGTGCATGACTTTCTTAACCATTATTGGACACTCAAATTGTGTAGTGAAATGAAATATTCTTCACAAAAACTCTGAGAAACACAACAGGTTTCTTATGGCTCTTCTTTGGTCACATGATGATTAAGGAAAAACAAAAGTGTTAACTATTTTTTTTTCTAAAGGCGTAAAAGAGAATGGCAAAATAAAATTGGGATTTTAGCAGATTTATATAGAATGCTTAATATTAGTGAAAGTCAGTGGGTTTAACCTACATGATAATTTTTACAAATAAGATAATCGGAGCAAAAATGTTAAAAAAATATAACTGAGTAAGAACTACAACACACAGCTTGGCATTTTCCTCAGTTTACCCTTTTATGTACATTATCTTTGTTAATTGTCATAACAACTCCTTAAGGCACACTCTTTCATTATCCCTATTTCCCCATGAGGAAACTGAAGCACAGGGGTTAGGTCTAAGGTCACATGCACACCTAGTAGGTAGCAGAGTAGCAGGTTCTTGGAATTAAACCCAAGAACCTCTAGCCATTTTGATACTAATAAAATGTTTCAATTTTGTTAATATATAATATCTAAAACAACAAATGGATCACCTGAATCATTATTTTTTACTCTTTCTCAGCTCAACATCAATGGAGACTACCTGGGAAGTGATAATCATATTTTTCTAACTTGCTTTTAGGTAGCAAATATAGGGTAGTTTTATAGAAAAAAATGACTGGTTATGCATCCTCTTGGCCCATGAATACATGCAGCATATGTAGAAAATTGCTGCTTGTAAATTAGCTCAAGATATTTAAACTAGAGTATAAGAGTATGCTAGAAGGTACCCAGAATCTAGATGGCTGTCTTAAACCAATGCAGTCAAAAACCAAAAACACCTTTACTCCTAACGTCTTAACAAATGTCTCTAGCTTGCTGGTACATTTTACACACTTTTTATTAATTAAGCTTATATACTTAGAGAAGAATAATGTAGTTCTTCACCCAGTATTTTATTCACCTTATCTTACTCACCCTTCTAAGACAGAGAGAAAAGAAGAGACTAGCATAGAATTTGTTAGTGCTTTAGAACCAAGAGAAGATAAGATTCTAAAGAAGAGATGATGCTTGAGTTCACGCTTATCAGACTTGTTTACAATGGGGATATGGCTGGCAATGATTTAATTTTTTAAGGTTGATTTAAATAAAATTAATAATTGCCTAATTAACTAAGAAACTATTCTCTTTTGATATGTGTAGTGAGTTTATGTTAATGCATGTATACAGTTTTTATTAAGTCATTTTTTTCTAAGTAACATTTAAATTTTGCAGGATGATTAAATGAAGGTACCATTTAACTTACTAATTATGGAATAGTATATTTTTTTTTGCATGTAGCTTTAAATAAAGTTCTAATATGTGATAGATCATCTAAGCTCTACAAATATAGTGAATAAGTAAAATGTTAGCCCTTTTTAAAGTTAGGGCCAGTGTTAAAAGGTTTTTGTCTTTCCAGAATATGGCAAAAATAAAAATTGTGCTTTTGAAATCTCTATTTTTAGGCATGCAAAAACTAGACATGATAAGTTAAATCGCTATGTTTCTGTATTATTTTACCACTTTCTGATGTAAAATCTTGCATATATATGGCCGGGCGTGGTGGTTCACACCTGTAATCCCAGCACTTTGGGAGGCCGAGGCGGGCGGATCACGAGATCAGGAGATCGACACCATCCTGGCTAACACGGTGAAACCTCATTTCTACTAAAAATACAAAACATTAGCCTGGCGTGGTGATGGGCGCCTGTAGTCCCAGCTACTCGGGTGGCTGAGGCAGGAGAATGGCATGAACCCAGGAGGCGGAGTTTGCAGTGAGCCGAGATCGCGCCACTGCACTGCAGCCTGGGAGACAGAGTGCGACTCCCTCTCAAAAAAAAAAAAAAAAAAATCGTGCATGTATGTGTATGTATATGTATGTGTGTATATATATATATAGCAGAAACACTGCTGAGAAAAGATGTATGAGAAAGGAGAGAAGAGAGATATAAGGAAAAATAGCAAAGATATTGAAAGCAAATGAGTTAGAAAAATACAAATGTAGAATAATATTCCGTGTGTGTATTTACCTATTTATATTTGTTTTATTAGATAAAATGCATCTATCTCTGGATCAGATTTAAGAAAATGCTCAATTTCACTGATGTAACAGAATTCATTCTTTTGGGATTAACTAGTCGTCCTGAATTACAGCAACTTTTCTTTGTGATTTTCCTGCTGGTCTACTTTATCACCCTGGTTGGGAACATTGGCATGATCATATTAATCAGGGTCAGTCCCCAGCTCAACAGCCCCATGTACTTTTTCCTTGGTCACCTGTCTTTTGCAGATGTGTGGTTCTCCTCTAACGTCACTCCTAAAATGTTGGAAAATTTGGTATCTGAGACCAAAACAATTTCCTATCCTGGATGTACAGTGCAGTGTTTTTTCTTCATTGCTTTTGTCCATGTAGAAGTCTTCATTCTTGCTGTGATGGCCTTTGATAGATACATGGCGATTGGAAACCCTCTACTTTATGGCAGCAGAATGTCAAGAACTGTCTGTATTCGACTGATTTCTTTCCCTTACATATACGGCTTCTTTATCAGTTTGATCTCAACACTGTGGACCCATGGTTTGTACTTCTGTGGGAACATCGAGATCAACCACTTCTACTGTGCAGACCCAGCTCTCATCAAAATGGCCTGTGCAGGGACTTTGATTAAAGAATACACTATGCGCACATTGGCAGGTCTCAACTTTTCTTATTCCTTATTGGTCATTATTATCTCCTACATTTTCATCCTCATTGCCATCTTAAGGATGCGTTCAGCAGAAGGGAGAAAGAAAGCTTTCTCCACGTGTGGGTCCCACTTGACAGCTGTCACCATATTTTATGGAACACTCTTCTTTATGTACCTTAGAAGCCCAACTGAGGAGTCTGTGGAGCAGGGGAAAATGGTGGCAGTTTTCTACACCACAGTCATTCCTATGTTGAACCCCATGATTTACAGTCTCAGGAACAAAGACGTAAAGGAGGCCATGAGCAAAGCGATGAGTAGAGCATTTTTAAATAAATAAGAACTTAAAATGTATTATGAGATTCTAGTTCATTAGAAGAGGTGGAAATTAACAAAGTTTTTAGACAATTTTGAAGAAATGTGTTATTTATATTTTCAGTAAATACCAAATAATAGATAATTGAAAAAGGGATAATGGTGTCCAGATAAGAGAAGTATATAAGAAACAAGAACCTCTGGCTCACAAAATCTGAAATGGTGAAAACGTGTTGACAATACCATCTACAGTTTTTCCTTTCTACACAAAGTCATATTCATATTTTATAACCAGGGAAGCTTTTTATGGTTCTTTAAAATTTCGTAAGTCCATTCTTTCAATTATGTTTTCAAAACAACTGCAGTGTTCTCTATGTGTTTTTGTTTTTTTGTTTGTTTTTTGCCCCTAGAATAAGTTTTGGCTCTAGATTATGTTACTATTGCAAAATATTTAAGTAGAATATGATTTCACCATTAATTATTGTTAAAATGGAAAACAACATTCCTGAGAATGGAATATATTATGTAGAATATATTATAAAGTCTAAGCAACATTAATTATTGTATACTGCCTGAGTTTTCATTTTCAAGTGTATACTAATACATTAAATAAAATTCCGTTATAAATGACTTAATATTCTCTGATATCCATTTGAGATCTTACGTATATCTTACCATTTTAAACGACAATCAGAAAGTGATGACACAATCCTACTGGTGTTTTGGAATGTAGAAGGTGCTCCTCTAAATATATTTCAGTAAATGACTTTTGGAATATTTTGAACACTTATAGAGGTGTATTTACTTCTTTTTCCTTTGCATTTTGTTTTGTATTTTTGGGTTTGATGGTAGAAGAAACTAGCTGTCCCCCTTAGAAGTTCTAGTGCATTCATTTGCACTGTATCTGACTTTAAAATTAATAAATCATAATTTATGTGCAGCAGGTGCCTTATCCTTTGCTATTTTACCATAAAGTCCTCAGATTTTGTATATATTTTCAATGTCAATCCATTGCTCCATAAGGTAGAGTTCTTGCTTGAAAGTGGCTGTCTGTCAAAAATGACATTTCCCACCACTACTACAGTGTGACTAGTTCTCACAAATGGCATGGATGTGTGAGTTTTACATGAAAAACTTCTAGACTAAGGTGTTTAAAAAATGTAGATGGCTTCCCCATTCTTTCTCCAACACCTGACAGCTGGATATTGATGCTCAAGGTGACCGTGTAAACTATATATTGTAGAGGACAGTAGGCTCGGCAACTTAACACCCTGAAAGACAGTGTGGAACAGAACTCCCTACTATGATCTGGAATACCTGTTTGTGAATTTCATGGGGGAGAAATAAAATTCATGATATTGTATGCTTTCATCCTTTCTTATTCTTGTTAACTACATTAGCTAGTAATTTGCTGATATGCTTACATGCCCAAATTCCCGATCCTCAAGAACTAAATCTTTGATTTTGTTTTAATAATCTCTATGGTTTTCTGTAGCAATTTCTGATTTTAGGGTTACGAATACCATTTTTTAACTGTTTTTAGGTTTTTTTTTTATACCATTTCTCTAAAATGCCCGATAGATTACATTCTTATTTCTGTGACTTATGCCTATGGATTCTGTGTCTCATACGCACACAAGTCAGAATTGAAGACTAACGGTCAAAAAACAACTCTATGCCAAGCAATCACAATCACAAACCACACAAAAACACAAACATGCCTCTCATATATGTACCTATTACTGTGATAAAGCACATATACATCCATAAAGTATATAGTGGTATAATATATGTATATGAGTATATTTTATACATACATGTATTATGTATGCATATAAAATTACTATATATAACAATATAATAAACTATATATCTATAATAATATATATAATAAACTGTACTATAGTACCTATGGTGGTATAATACATATGAACTGTATCTATATTACCTATATAGTGAACTATACATCTATATTATATACAGTGATATATGTATGTTATATATTTATATAACGTGTATATGTATATATACATATATATGTATTTGCATATATATGTGTATATAGAACACTGTATATGTGTATGTATTATGCATGTGTATAATACATATGTATATATGTATGTGCATACATAGTATATATGAAAATAATTGTATCCATATATGAAACCACAGTATATAATTAGATACATATAATATACAATGATATATATTATATTATGTATTATATATACCACATATTACATATACCACTGTATAATACACATATATTATATTGTACATATGTATATTATATATACATTATATGCATATATTTATATGCAGTGGTATGATGTATACAATGTATATAATCATATACATATAGAATACCATGGTATATAATTATATGCATACATTTCACTACTGTATATAATTATATACATATATAAAATATATACATATGTTATACCACTGTATTATTATATACCACTGTATTTAATCATATACATATAATATATACATGTATTTAATTATATACAAATATACACATGTATTTATATACAGTGGCATATATGTATATAGTACATACATATATACAATATATTTGTATATGTATATAATTATATACAATAGGATATTATATCTATGTACATAATTTTGAGAAAACCCCACACACATAACAGTTGGCTCTTTCTCTACAGATGTACTTCCCATAGTATCATTTCTAAGAGAAAATTCTTAGTTTCTCCTTGCCTTCTAAGTCAAGCAGTTAAGGGAGGCTTCTCATGTTGACTTTCCCCAGTTTCTCTTTCATCAGGTCGAAGGTGTTTACTATTCCCACATATAGCATGCACTTTTCAACTCTGCATCCACATTGGGAATATTTCTCTTCATTCTCAGGTTGGTGAAAAATGTATCTATCTGGAATTGTCAGATGGAGCTTGCAATGGAGATTTTATTTTCTTTTACGATTTATAGGAATGCATTCATGATTTTATCTACGTTATGTGTGTATGTGTTGAGATACATAAGAGAGAGATACATTTTCAGTAAGACTATATATTATTTGATAATTACAAATGAATAAAGGAGTGTATCTGATAATCATTTTCATATGTATTATGTGTTAATATATATCTTTTCATATTCACAATCACACAATGAAATGATTATTATTATTATTGTTAAGTCCTACTGAGGAACATAAAAAGTAAAAGCAAAACAAAACAAGAATAAGACAAGTGCAGTTTTATAAAATAAGTCAAAGAGCCTGGATCCAACCAAGCTCTGATGATAGAAACAGAATTCTTTAACTAGGATAGTTAATATTGCTTCATACCTGGTCTGGAAAAGAATCCATATTTATTGGCAATTTAATTTGAAATAGAGTAATTTAATAAGGGAAGGTTATGTGTGTATTTTTTAATTTAGGTAATGAGGAAATTCTCTAAATACTCTTGAGGTCCCCTAATCTCTATTTCTTTGTACAGCTTGCACCCCCTAGGATCATATCTAACCCCTAGTTTCCTGTAATTTTACTAATGCTATTCATCACCTGGATAACCATCACTCAGGGCTCTTTGTATTTAGCTTGTGGGGAGTACTGACAATGGCATCTTCTACATCCTTGTTTGTGCTGAATCACCCTTCAGCACGGAATGAGATATGACTTTCCAAATAAGAATCCTTCTATTGCCAGCAAGAACATTTCGGGCAGCCGCAGCATAAACTGCTGAATCAGAAATCTGGAGTTATCTGTTGATATGTCTGTAATCTCTGTTCGGATATAAATCTAAGGATCTTAGAGATTTTAATGACTCTAACAGATTTTGCAGTTTATATATAAATATATTCTAAGGCAGTATATGTAGTTTTTAGAACTTTATTATTCATTTAAAAAAATGTACCCACTAATTAATCCTTCAAATTTTTATTAATTAGATCAAACCTCTGGAGCCATGTAGAATGTAACCTGTTTCACAGTTAGTAATTTTCTCCTCTAGTCATAGAAAATTGTTCTTTCCAAGTTTGTGGTTGAAAAGTTTTGGATTATTACTATGGATAAGCGTTCACTTATTTTCACTATCCATTGAGATTTACCTTCCTGACTGCTAATTTTTTGGGTAACTGCTAACCAGTAATAATATGGATACATTTCATCCCATTGTGATTGAATACAGTTTAACGCTGCAAATTACAAGAAGGGTCTTGGGAATAATCGTTTGCTGTAGAGATAATATAGAGCCATTAGAACGTTTGACACAATCCCATCTCCAATAAATATATTTCCTGCTGAAAGGCTGTCTCAAGATTCTTATTAGATATATTTGCACTCTGTGTTCTGCAGAATGTGATTGCTCATTGACAAAATATCTAATTAATGGAATTTCTCTCATACATATATGAAATATATATAAGCTTTATGTATGTTTATATACTTACAGGTGTGTGTATATATATACACACATATGTATATACATACATAGAGGTGTGTGTGTGTGTGTGGGAGCGTGTGAGTGCAAATGTTAAACGAATGATGTGTACAGTAAATAACTTTACTAGGTAGACTGTGAATCACTAAGAGATTTGACAGGGCACAGAGATGTCCCATTTGATGGAGAAAAACTTGTGGATTGTTCTCTATTGTATCTAGTAAGATCATGCCAAACGCTAATGTTTTCTTAGAAATATAATTTGAGAAACATTTTCTGAAAGAAATTTCCTATATGATACATCCTATATTTGAAAATAAATTTGCAACATATACAAGAAATCTTCCTAGAATTTCACTGAACCCTCAAAGGAGAATCAATCACTTCCTAATTTTCTGTCCCTATTATACCTCTGTAAGAATACATCCAAGTTTTAGAATGTATTTATTTACATTAGTAGCTTCATAAGTACTGACATTAATCTGTATGTTGTACATCTCTTTGAATCTCTAGAACATAACAGTATATAATATCTAGTGGATTCTAATTTTATATTAGAGTTAGGAGGGAGTCCATATCCAGGATATGTTGATACAGTGTGAATATGGACAAATAATTCACCCTTTAACTCGACTTTGATGGCTACTATCATCAGTCTTTTGTTCTTTACTTGAAAATAATACAAATATGAGATTAAAAATATTTTACATTTTAGGCTGACAAATTAATCATATGATTTTCTTCTCTAATCTTTGAGAATATGCTTATAATGAACAAGAGATTAAGTGAAATTGTACACTTTTTAAGTTCTATTATGAAAGGAACTATAATCCCCTGTAATTATCTTTAAAATATAAAAACATACCATCATTGGAAATGAGGGAAATTTAAGAAGTAATGAAGTAATCTTGGAAATGTGACTACTCACAATACTTAATATCAGTGTATACAATTATACTTTGTATAATTGTTATATAATAGGGACTGTCCACATTTATTCATTGTAGAGCCTATTACGTAACAGGCACTGAGAAAAGATTGGCGAAAATAATGCAGTGTGCTTATAGATATTGTATAAAGGGAGGATCTAAAGGTATAAATTAATAAATAAACATCCTAATTTTTTCGTCTATTTTAGTTATCAAACATTTTGTAACTGATATTGACTTAGAATTGAGAAAATGCTCAATTTCACCGATGTGACAGAGTTCATTCTTTTGGGGCTAACCAGCCATCGGGAATGGCAAGTTCTCTTCTTCATCGTCTTCCTTGTGGTCTACATTATCACCATGGTGGGCAATATTGGCACGATCATGTTAATCAAGGTCAGTCCTCAGCTTAACAGCCCCATGTACTTTTTCCTCAGTCACTTGTCATTCGTTGATGTGTGGTTTTCTTCCAATGTCACCCCTAAAATGTTGGAAAACCTGTTATCAGATAAAAAAACAATTTCTTACGCTGGCTGTTTAGTACAGTGTTTCTTCTTCATTGCTCTTGTCCATGTGGAAATTTTTATTCTTGCTGTGATGGCCTTTGATAGATACATAGCAATTGGATATCCTCTGCTTTATGGCAGTAAAATGTCAAGGGTTGTCTGTATTCGACTGATTTCCTTCCTTTACATTTATGGTTTTCTGACGAGTCTGGCAGCAACATTATGGACTTATGGTTTGTACTTCTGTGGAAAAATTGAGATCAACCATTTCTACTGTGCAGATTCACCTCTCATCAAAATGGCCTGTGCCGGGACATTTGTAAAAGAATATACGATGATCATACTTGCCGGCATTAACTTCACATATTCCCTGACTGTAATTATCATCTCTTATTTATTTATCCTCATTGCCATTCTGCGAATGCGCTCAGCAGAAGGAAGGCGGAAGGCCTTTTCCACATGCGGGTCCCATCTGACAGCTGTCATCATATTCTATGGTACTCTGATCTTCATGTATCTCAGACATCCCTCAGAGGAGTCAGTGGAGCAGGGGAAGATGGTGGCTGTGTTCTATACCACAGTGATCCCCATGTTGAATCCCATGATCTATAGTCTGAGGAACAAGGATGTGAAAGAGGCCATGACAAAAGTGATCAGTAGATCATGTTAAACAAAATAAAATCAAATTTGATTTAATTTTATCTTCTATTATTTGTTTGGAAAACAGTTATTACCCAGTGCCTATGAACACTAAGATAAAGATATTCTGTGGGTTGAAAAGAAAAATAAAAATGGTGCAAATTGAGAAAATGTAAGGTGGAATGATTCATTTCTGTTGATGTATGGAGATTAATTACATACAAATAAATTAATTGAAACGGTGATGTGTGCCAAAGTTCATAGGTGTACTATGGGAAGTTGCTCAAATACTTAGCTGCAACCAAAAGACTTTTTCTTAATGAAAAGTACAGTTGCATGAATTTAAGAAATATTTATTTGCCCACTTAAAAACAAATTTGGGGCAGAAAAAAACCCCATGATATTTAATTTGGTTTTCCAATATGAAGACATAAAATATTGGTCTAATTGTTATGAAATTATTTATTGTTTAATGCATCTTTCATTATGTTGTGTAGGGTCTGTTCAGAGACTACTACTTGGAAAATAACAATATTATTGTATTTCATCCTTTTTAATTTTTTGGTGTTTCTTAAGAAACACAACATGGTAAGTGTCTCTCTTTCACAGATCCTGGGAACTGCTGTGTTTCAACTCTACAATTGCCCGTCACCAGACTCTGGTTTGCCCCTGCTGGTGTCTTCACTCTGACTGAAGAGTAGGAGGATAATTAGTGGAAGAAGCTGTCATTGTAAAACCATGGCTCTCCAAATTCCACAGAATGAATTACATTCCACTCATGTGGGATATTTGGTATACCTGTGACCAACACATTGCACCTACATTATTCTAGTTAACTTTTACATTTGAAATAAATTCAGTATTTAGGACGCACTATTTGTTGTTTTTTTTTTTCTTTTTTCTTTTTTTTTTAAATTTATTTATTATTATTATACTTTAAGTCGTAGGGTACATGTGCATAACGTGCAGGTTTGTTACATATGTATACTTGTGCCATGTTGGTGTGCTGCACCCATCAACTCGTCATTTACATCAGGTATAACTCCCAATGCAATCCCTCCCCCCGCCCCCCTCCCCATGATAGGCCCCGGTGTGTGATGTTCCCCTTCCTGAGTCCAAGTGATCTCATTGTTCAGTTCCCACCTATGAGTGAGAACATGCGGTGTTTGGTTTTCTGTTCTTGTGATAGTTTGCTAAGAATGATGGTTTCCAGCTGCATCCATGTCCCTACAAAGGACCCAAACTCATCCTTTTTGATGGCTGCATAGTATTCCATGGTGTATATGTGCCACATTTTCTTAATCCAATCTGTCACTGATGGACATTTGGGTTGATTCCAAGTCTTTGCTATTGTGAATAGTGCCGCAATAAACATATGTGTGCATGTCTCTTTATAGCAGCATAATTTATAATCCTTTGGGTATATACCCAGTAATGGGATGGCTGGGTCATATGGTACATCTAGTTCTAGATCCTTGAGGAATCGCCATACTGCGCACAAGACAGGGATGCCCTCTCTCACCACTCCTATTCAACATAGTGTTGGAAGTTCGGGCTAGGGCAATTAGGCAAGAGAAAGAAATCAAGGGTATTCAGTTAGGAAAAGAAGAAGTCAAATTGTCCCTGTTTGCAGATGACATGATTGTATATTTAGAAAACCCCATTGTCTCAGCCCAAAATCTCCTTAAGCTGATAAGCAACTTCAGCAAAGTCTCAGGATACAAAATTAATGTGCAAAAATCACAAGCATTCTTATACACCAGTAACAGACAAACAGAGAGCCAAATCAGGAATGAACTTCCATTCACAATTGCTTCAAAGAGAATCAAATACCTAGGAATCCAACTTCCAAGGGATGTAAAGGACCTCTTCAAGGAGAACTACAAACCACTGCTCAGTGAAATCAAAGAGGACACAAACAAATGGAAGAACATACCATGCTCATGGATAGGAAGAATCAATATCGTGAAAATGGCCATACTGCCCAAGGTCATTTATAGATTCAATGCCATCCCCATCAAGCTACCAACGAGTTTCTTCACAGAATTGGAAAAAACTGCTTTAAAGTTCATATGGAACCAAAAAAGAGCCCGCATCTCCAAGACAATCCTAAGTCAAAAGAACAAAGCTGGAGGCATCACGCTACCTGACTTCAAACTATACTACAAGGCTACAGTAACCAAAACAGCATGGTACTGGTACCAAAACAGAGATATAGACCAATGGAACAGAACAGAGTCCTCAGAAATAATACCACACATCTACAGCCATCTGATCTTTGACAAACCTGAGAGAAACAAGAAATGGGGAAAGGATTCCCTATTTAATAAATGGTGCTGGGAAAATTGGCTAGCCATAAGTAGAAAGCTGAAACTGGATCCTTTCCTTACTCCTTATACTATTTGTTGTTATCAGTAACATTTTCTGACATAATAGGAACATAATTTGACATCTCTCTTGAACCTTATGTCATGAAGCATAAGGATGAAGCTACAACTTAGCTTATTTCATCAAGTCTACATCCTCAGGTCAAATAAATAATCACCTGTTTTGATGCAAACAATATACAGCTAAAGAAATGTAATTTATACATTTTAAATTATACATTTTAAAATTAAGAATTATCTGCAAAGATGTGAATATAAAATAAGATTGGTGTCATCTGAGAAAAAAGCATTCTTTTGATTTAACTTTTAAGTTCAAGGGTAGGTGTGCAGGTTTGTTCTATAGGTCAACTTGTGTCATAGAGGGTTGTGGTACAGATTATTTCATCACCCAGGTATTAAACCTAGCACCCATTATTTATCCTGATCCTCCCCCTCCTTCCAACCTCTACCCTCTCATAGGCCTCAATGTGCGTTGCTCCCCTCTATGTGTCCATGTACTCTCAACATTTAGCTCACACTTCTAAGTGAGAAAACGTGGTATTTGGTGTCCTGTTCCCGCATTAGTTTGCTAAAGATAATGGTCTCAAGCTCCATCTATGTTCTCGCAAAGGACAAGATCTCATTGTTTTTCTTATGGTTGCCTAGTATTCCATGATGTATATGTATATTTTCTTTACCCAGTCTATCACTGATGGGTTTTTAGGTTGATTACCTGTGTTTGCTATTGTGGATAGTGCTGCAATGAATATACATGTGCATGTGTCTTTATAGTAGAACAATTTATATTCATTTGGGCATATACCCAGGCATGGAATTGCTGGATATTTCTGTTTTGAGGTGTTTGAGGAATCACCACACTGTCTTCCACAATGGTTGAACTAAGATACATGAGGCCAAGAATCACATGAAAAAGCTCAACATCACTGATAATTAACAAAATGGAAATCAAAACTACAGTGAGATACCATCTCACATCAGTAAGAATGGCTATTATCAAAAAGCCAAAAAAATTAGATGCTCATAAGGTTGTGAAGAAAAACAAATGTTTATCTGCTGTTGATGGAAGTGTGAAAAAAGCACTCTTCTTTGTCCATGATTGAATTTTATTTACATCAAGAGAAACTATAAGTGCAATGAACTCATTTCCACATACGTACACATAAATAATGGGCAGCATTTTAAAACCTTTTGCATACATAAACAAATTACTTAGATTCGATTATAGTATTACTGTGTCTGGTTGAAATATGTCAAACCTCTGGAGACTTTTAATGTCTGAGGTACTCATTCTTTTGGGATTACTCCAAAGTTAAAAGTAATTTATCTTGGCAATAAAAACATTTATTTGCCATTTTGGGGGAACTCTTGATATGCCAAATTAGTTTTTTGTTATTAATAAATTTCAAAATGTGTATTGAAAGCATTTGATCACTTTCAGCATGTTGGCAGGTGAATTTGAACTGTCTTTGTTACCTGTTTTTTTCAAAGGCAAAATGCATTTCTGTTTATTCTTTTGGAGAATTAGTTTAGATAACATAAAGAATGATGAGTCAAGGTCCGTGGTCAAACCATGTTTCTGGTTTGAGTTTCCAAATTTCAAGTGCATTTGTGGAAGACCTCGGACAAGTCACTTTTTGTCACCCATCCACTTACTTTTAAGGTTGTAAACCTTACTTATCTCTCTCTCTCTTTTTTTTTTCTCTTGAGAGGGAGTTTTGCTTTGTCTCCCAGGCTGGAGTACAGTGGTGCTATCTCGACCCACTACAAACTCTGCCTCCCGGGTTCAAGCAATTCTCCTGCCTCAGCCTCCCAATAGCTGGGATTACCGGCACCTGACATCATGACCAGCTACTTTTTGTATTTTTGTAGAGACATGGTGTCACCATGTTGGCCGGGCTGATCTTGAACTCCTGACTCCAGGTGATCCAGCCCCCTTGGCCTCTCAAAGTGCTGGATTACAGGTAGAAGCCACTGTGCCAGGCACATCATACTTATTTCACATAGGAATAATGTTATTCTTCAAGGTAAGGATAGTATTAGTCAGAATCCTAAAGAAGTGGTAAGATAATGCTAGTGAACTGTTTAGAGGTAAAACTGCACAAATAATGAACACTTTTTGTGTGCTTCACATGCAGCAGTCATTGGGAAGAGAGTTATCCCTGTATTATTCTAAGATCATCTCAACCAAATGTAAGGTAATAGTTTCCCTATTCTACAGATGAGTACAATGAGACTCAGAAGTGCATCGCTCGTCCAAAGTAACATAGTGAAAGTGTTATACCAAAGGTATAATCCCAGACCTGACTGACTTCAGTAATGACTTCTACATGTACTCATTTTACCAAGGATTTATTCTTTGAGGCATCTGACATCTGAACATAACCATGAGATGCATGGGACATGCATTCCGATGATCATTTGTCCTGACAGATGGCACTTTTTAGAACAGTTGTCCAGCCAGAAAGGGACTCACTGAAATTTTAAATGATTCAAACCAATATCTTGCTGAAATGCATAACTGTCAATGTGTAAATAAAAGAAGACAGAACCCATGTGAAAGTGAGAGATAAGATTACATTGTTGATGAAGAATTTTGATCTATTTTATTTAAAAATTCTTCTTCTCATTCACACTCCTTAACTGCTCCTACACCTGAGCTGTGTCTACAATTTTACTTATTATTTTTTTTTCGTAATTACCTGAATAGTCCCTTAGGGAGATGAT